AACATTTGCAAATATGTTTTCCCATGCCGTGGGCTTTCTTGTTGTGTTGTTGATGCTTTCTTGTTGTTTTGTTGATGGTTTCTTTTGCTGTGCAGAAGCTTTTTATTTTGATGCAGTCCCGTTTGTATATTTTCTCTTTAGTTTCAAGTGTCCTAGGAGCTGTACCAGTGAAGAAATTGCTTCTGCATATGTCTGAGATTTTGTTGCCTTTGGATTCCTCTAGTATTTTTATGGTTTCCCGTCTTACATTTAAGTCCTTTATCCATTTTGAGTTTATTTTTGTGTATGGTGTAAGTTGGTGGCCTAGTTTCATTTTTTTCTGTTTCTTCGTTTTAGATTTGGATTTTTGTCCCCCATCCCCTCCCGATCAGCTTGTCTTCCAAGTTCAGGAGCCAGAAACCAACCAATTCACCTCTGCCTCTATCTTTGATGCCCCCAAGTTTGTCATTGTTCATTGACATTTTTACTCCTTATGAGGCTGGGATCCCATAGGCAATAAAGCAGATAATAGGCAAGGTCCACGTGTGAAACACAGTCCCTCTTCCTTACCAGTAGATTTAGCTTATGAATCAAATGAAGTTTTTGGCATGGTACTTATTTTTCCACTATATTCTGGTAAGAAGGAAGACAGTTGTTACTGAATGTATGTAAATAACATAACTGTAAAAAGTAAAATAATTTATTAGAGGCACATTGTATAATATTCAGCCATTATTCTTACTAATTTGTGGATAAGGATGAATATGTCATTTCCCCCCCTACACAATCATTTTCTTACACTTACCTGACAGTTTATTAACTTATAACTCATGGTAATAATTTTCATTGTCTTTTTAGTGTCTGAATTCTCTGGGATCAGCTGGAACAAGCATTGAATGAATGTTTCAGTTCAGTTTGTAAATTGTCAACTGTAAAACACTTGAATTAGAAGATGGGAAATGATTTTTTTTAAAGGATTTTCTTATATAGCCATTAAAAATAGAACATTAACCACAATGAAACTGGTTTTTTCCTGATCTTGGTTTAAGCAGTCTATTTCAGAAAATTGCCTCAGACTGAGTCCTGGAAATCCAAGCACGGTCCTTTGGGTACATTCTGAGAGATGAGTGTCTGGCCACGGATCAAGGTCAGCCTTATTGAGAATCTGTACCCCTGAGGCTATTTGAGAACCTCGTTCTTTCCTTCTTGATTGAAACCTTTCTTATAGTTCTTCAGAAAACTTGCTTTCTGATCTGTAGCTTGTAGCTGGGTCCCTTTGGCAGTGGTAAGAGAAAAGCAGAAATCGCCTGTGGATGGGAGGACGGCATGGCTCTGATTAATGTATTGTAATAACCACCTCTATCAGAGAGAAACATAGAGAAGACCTCTAGTCACATGTAACTCCATCACTGATTGCCTTGAGAATAAGAATTTGTTATGAACATGAGGACTTTGTCAGATCTCCAGGGTCCTCCCATTTATCCCGTCAGTGATATGTTATAATTGTCACCAACTGTTGAATATATTTAAACCTAGAAGCAAAATCATTTTTTTAAAAAAAGGATTAATTTTGTTAATTGTCATATCAATCTTTTTTTCTAACCTGAAAAGTATACAACTGAAATGCATTCATAGTAACAATATTTTAGTTGTAGATAATTAACCCAGGGAGGTGGAACTTCTCGTTCAGTTGCTAGCATGGTGGACTTGCTAGCATGAAATCATTGTATTGAGCTAATTAAAAGTCTGGAGAATGCCAAGCCTATCTAATATTTCTAGTTTCCCTTCTTTTACATGTTGATGGAGTAAGTTATAGTTTACCTTATGGCCATCCGGGAAACCCAAAAGCAGTTTAGATGGAAAAGACATCTTAACAATTTTATAAGTTTGAATATGGGGCCTGGATTTGGCAAAAAAGAGTTGTCAGAAGAAACAAGAATTATTGCATGCTATGCCTTTATAGTTACATTCTCCCCAACCCCTAACTTCTGGCAACCATGGATCCGTTCTCCATCATTATAGTTTTGTGTTTTGCAAATGTCATTAAAATGGAATCATGTAGTATGTAACTTTTTGAGGCTGGCTTCTTTCATTCAGCATAACATCTTTAAGATTTGTCCAAGTTGTTTGAAGAATCAATAGTTCTGCCCTGGCCTGTGTTGCTCAATGGTTAGAGTGTTGGCCTGTGCATTTAAGGGTCATTGGTTTGATATCCTGTGAAGGGCACATATCTGGGTTCCAGGTTTGATCCCCAGCCCTGGTTGGGGCATGTGCAGGAAGCAACTAATCGATGTGTATCTCTCTCACATCGATGTTTCTCTCTCTCCCTCCTTCCCTCCCTTCTACTCTCTCTAAAAATCAATGGAAAAAAATATAGTCAAGTAAGGATTAATTTTTAAAAAATCAATAGTTCTTATACTTTTACCTGTTGAATAATAATCCATTGTATGGATAGACTACACTTTATTATCTGTTGACCCATTGGATAACATTTGGGCTGTTTCCAGTTTTGGGTCATTGTAAATAGAGCTGCTATAACCATGCATGTATAGATTTTTTTGTGAATAGAAATTTTCAGTTTTCTAGGATAAATACATAGAAGTGGGATTACTGGGTCTTATGGTAGGTGTGCATTTAACCTTTAAAGAAACTGCAGAACTGTTTTCCAGAGTGGCTTCTGTCTGTTTTTGAAAATAATTTCTTCATACCCCAGTAGTTCAGAGTTTCACTGTTGGTCCTCCTGCCATGGTGCTTTGCTATTTTCTGCTCTCATGACGAGTGCTGCACTCCAAGTGTATTTGTCTCTCCATTGTAAGCACAGGTATCATCTCTAAAGGAGAGTTTGTATCTGGCTCACTTTGTATAACTGCAGCTTCAAGTCCCAAACCTTCCATGTAGGTGTGAGTGAATGAGTGGGTTGTTGCACACGCAGATAGATGCATACCCACCTTTTCCCTGTGTGACCTTGGGCAAGTTCCATGGGTTAGTAATTTTAGCTTCTCCGTTTGCAAAAGAGATTGATAACACTCATTATATGGTTGTTGTAAAGATTTAATGGGATAAAAACTTAAAAGCTCTAAACATTTGTCTGAAATGCAGTAAGTAGTCAGAACATTGCAGCTATTATTGTTAGTTAAATTGCTCTACTTGTGAAAGAGATAGAGGGTGAAAACATGTCACTCTTACCTTTCAGCTAGGAATGTTGTCTAACAGGCAGGCTGACAGCGATCTGTCCCAGTGTGGTCCTTGTGAAGTCCGAAAATTCTCTTGTAATGGTCATGAGTGTGAACAGGTTTTCTTTGTGTCTCTGCAACAGTAGCATGGCTGTGGGCTGACTGAAATGTATCTTTAGAGCAGCGGTTGCCAGCCTTTCGGACCTCACGGACCACCAGTGGTCTACAGACCACCGGTTGGCGACCGCTGGTTTAGAGGACAAAACAATGAGTTCAGAGGCTGTTCGTATTTCAATAGTTGAGTTTTTTAATGGCATTTATTTCACAAATTATCTTTCTTTCTTTCTTCCAGTTCTGGGATTACCGCCAGCCTCGGAAATACCTCAATATTCTCCCTTGCCAGGTGCCTGTCTGGAAGGCCAGATACACTGTGAGTGTGACACCTGTCTCGTGTTGGGAAACTTCCATCTTGGTGTTCCAGACTCTTTATGAGGCAGTTTTCTCTTTCTGTCTTGATTTAGGGGTGGGTCAAAGCTGGTCATGCTGGTATAAAAGATGTTATCCACTGAAAAATGTACCCTTGGGCCCTGGCCAGTGTGGCTCAGTTGGTTGGTACGCCATTCCATATACCAGAAAGCAGCAGGTTCGATTCCCAGTCAGGGCACATACCAGGTTGTGGGTTCCATCCCCGGTCAGGGCGTACAGGAGGCAGTTGACCAGTGTTCCTCGCTCACATTGATGTCTCTCTCTAACATTGATGTTTCTCTCTCCCTTTCTCTCTCCAATTAAAAATAATTTTTAAAAATTTAAAAATTTACCCTTGGAATTTTGGGTAAGAATCTGTACTAGAATTACTAACCAAAGCTAGACTGAGAAACTAGGTAGTGGGAAGGTGGTCACTAGAAGCAGGGGAAGAGGGTCAGACGGAAGCAGAGGGTGGAGAGACTGTGGTCAGTGGATTGTGATGGAAACAATTCTGGCTTTAGATTCAGAAGGCCTGGGTTTTGGGCCCAGCAATGCCACTTAATTCCCCCCCCCATCTTTATTGAGCTATAATTGATATATAATATTGTGCAAGTTCAAGTTGCACAACATGTTAATTTGATACACTTATATGTTGCAAAACGATTACCGCCATAGCATTAGCTAACACCTCCATCACATAATTATCATTTCTTTTTTGTGATGAGAACATGCAAGATTTACTCTCTTAGCAACTTTCAAGTATGTAATATGGTGTTACTAACTTTAATCACTCTGTTGTACATTAGATCCCTAGAATGTAATCATTTTATAACTGGATGTTTGTACCCTCTGACCAACTTTCCTCTTCTTCCCCTCTCCTCAGCCCTGTAATTGATATTTTACTTGGTGTTTCTATGAGTTCAATCTTTTTAGGTTCTACATATAAACGATATCAACAGTATTTGTCTTTCTCTGACTTATTTTACATAGCATAATGCCCTCAAGGTTCATCCACATTGTGGTGAATGGCAGCATTTCCTTCTTTCTCATGGCTGAGTAATATTCCATTGTGTGTGTGTGTGTGTGTGTGTGACATTTTTATCATTCACCATTGATGGACAGCTAGGTTGTTTCCATATTTTGGCTTGCGAATAATGCTGCAATGAGACATTTAATATTTGTGTGGCCTTTGGCAAGCCATTTGGTATTTTTGAGCAATAGTTATCTCCATTGTAAAATACGAATAATAATTTTTACAATGCCTTCCTTTTTTATTGTGATAAAATTCACCATTTTAAAATGTGCAATTCAGTGGCATTTAGTATATGCACAATATGCCTTCCTTTTGAAAAATCATATATGAAAATGTTTTATAAATCATACAGTACCATGAATATAGGGAGTAGGCTATTATTAACATTCCAACAATTATTTCATTGCCACATTGGTAGCTGCTGATCAGAGGTAATGTATTTCTCTTAGTGTCACTTTGAAAAGGGAGGATAGGGATGGATAAAGGTACTTTTATACATTAGGCTGTCACCCTGGGGCACTGTGGAGCATAGAGGATAATTGGGTATTAAGTGGCTTTTGCATTGTTAGCAGCAGATGTTGACAACAACAGATGTTGTTCTTTTTTCCCAATAGTTTATTGATTTTTTTTTAGAGAGAGAGGAAGGGAGAGGGAGAGAGGGATTGCCCTTGGCTAGGAATCGACTCGGCAACCTCCTCTTGGTGTGCAGGATGACAACCCAACGAACTAGGCCACACCAGTCAAGGCAGATGTTGTTCTTTTTTCTTTTCTTTTCTTTCTTTCTTTCTTTTTTTAATATATCTTCATTGATTTCAGAGATAAGGGAGAGGAAGAGATAGAAACATTAATGATGAGAGAATCATTGATTGGCTGCCTCCTGCACGCCCCCTACTGGGGATCAAGCCCGCAACCCAGGCATGTGCCCTTGACCAGAATCAAACCTGGGACCCTTCAGTCCGTAGGCTGATGCTCTATCCACTGAGCCAAACCAGCTAGGGCAGATGTTGTTCTTATGAATAGAAATACTTCTCTGGATTAGTATTTCCAGAGAAATACTCAGAGAAGTCTAGAAGTGCTGCCAGGAGGGGAGGTAGAGATAAATGTGCTCTAGGTGATGATGGTTTATTCCCTAAAGACCAGTGTCTAAATCATCAAACAAATGGACCCCTTAGCTGCCTAGCAGATTGGGTGTTGATAAGTAAAATCTGTCAGACCTCAAATGAACTGGGAGGTTTTTTTTGAATAGCTGTAGTATTTGGGGGCAGTGGGAAGGTTGTGATTCACGTGGATGGTATGCCCCTGGTGCATTTCCTCAAGACAGGAATTGTGCTTGCTGCTCTGGCCTTTTCCCCAGCGTGCCTTGCATGCTCACTCTGGGAAAGCGCTTAGTAACTCGTGAAGGAGCTCAGGGAGAGTAGCTAGGATACGAAACAGTGTGTTCCTGTGTGCAACAGTCAGAGCCATATTTTAGAATATTTTCAAAGTTCTTCAAGTATTTGGCTTAGCTTTATTTTATTTTATTAAATATATTTTTAGTGATTTCAGAGAGGAAGGGAGAGGGAGAGAGAGATAGAAACATCAATGATGAGAAAGAATCATTGATCGGCTGCCTCCTGGACGCCCTCTACTGGGGGTTGAGCCCACAACCTGGGTATGTGCCCTTGACCAGAATCGAACCTGGGACCCTTCAGTCCATAGGCCGACGCTCTATCCACTGAGCCAAACCAGGTAGGGCGAGGCCGTCTTTAATTTGCATTGCAATACCTGCACTCCAACAAAGTCTAATGTGTTGTGTTGAA